GCTGTGCACTCCTTAAATACAGACTTTCAGCAGATTCTGGTTTTAGCTCTACACCTTGCTCTGTCTTCTGCTCTATCTTGAATCTTTAGGGACTTTGGAGGCTTTCAGAGGCTCTGTGGTACAAATGGCTTATTTCCTATCTAGATCACCCTCTTTAGCTAATTGGGTTTCCAAGCCCTCCATTCTTCTGAGATGGTTCTCACCCCTGCACTGCCATTCAGTGGTTTTTAGGGAACACATGTAGATACAGCTGTGATGAACCCAAGAGCCCTTAGGGGGTTCTGTCCAGAAGAGCTCATAGCGCACCTGCAAGGGCTGGGTAGGGGGGAGGCTGGGTCATGGACTGGGGAGGGACACGAGGACAGGAGGCTAGTGCATGACCCTGTGTGTGGTGACAAGTGTGGGAGCTAGGACTGGCATCAGGGGAAGGAGAGGAGGAGAGAATCCTGGGTGTGCAGGGGAAGAATCCGGATGCCACCTCAGGCTCTGACTTGGTTGGTAGACTCACCATCCCTTCACTGGACCGAGGAATACAGTCAGGAGTAGGTTGCCTCCAGAGGATGGGTTCCTTGAGGGAAGCATGGAGCCCGAGGGACCTCCAGGTGGGCAGGGCCAGCAGCAGGTGGGCAGGGTGTGAAGCACAGGCAATGTATCTCTGCATGATAGGGAGGGCTGGCCTGGATGAGATCATCCAGCTAGGAGGTGGGAGGGCGGAGACAGCACTACCCAGAGATGAAAGGGAGTGAGATAAATGCGGGTGGGGACCCAGGTGACCACCAGCCCAGCCCTTTCACACCAGCTACCTAAAATGGTGGCCTTTGAGGCTCTGAGGTTAGCCAGAGCAGCTGAGCCCTGGGGCTGCTAAATTTAGACAGCCCTGGGGCTTCCCACCACTCTGCAGCAGCTGTTCCTGGACAGCTGGGGGATGGCCCGGGGATGTGGGGCTCAGACTCAGGAAGAGTTGATGGTGGCGATTACCTTCTGCCCTCAGCCGGTTTCTGGGTGTGCCTGCCTCCTTCCCAGCGCCAGCATCTCAGATCTAGCTGCGGCAGGCAGATCTCAAAGTGCGTATCACACTAGCTCAGGGCTAGCTCAGGGCTGACACCTAGAAGAGGACTATGCTGGAGTTCTCTTGCTGTGTGTCTCTTGGCAGATCTGCTGAATATAAAAGCAAGCATAGCAGGCCAACCGGTGGTGTGGCGGTTAAGGCACTGGACCCCATGTGACCAACTATGCAGTTCAAGTCCTGGACTTAGCGGCTTAAAATATACACTAGGCACATGTGCGTGTGTGCCCAAATTCTTGAAAGGAGAATGGAGAAGGGACTGTGGCATGGCCATCCTCCCTGGGGTGGGGGTTGCTTTCTCACTTTCTCTCTCTCTCTAAAGAATATGTACATGTTTGGGAACCAGCAGTTAGCATGATGGCTATGTTGCTGGACTTCCATGTATTCGACCGCGGTTCGCGTCCCGGACCCAGTGGCTTAAACTCACACTGGGCGCGTGTGCGTGTGTGCCCAAGATCGCAAGAGGAGAATGGAGAAGGGATTGTGGCATGACCATCCCCTCTGGGGGATGATTTCTCGCTTTCTGTCTCTGTGTCTCTCTCTGTCTGGCGAGCGCACGCGCCCTATAGTGAAAACCTCTCCAAAAAAGAAAAAAAAGAAAAGATAAAAAATAAAAAAGAGTATGTACATGTTATAGCAAAACTTATGGGGGAAAAAAGATAAATAGGAACCTTGGCTGCTTGCTGGCCTGTGTGTGCACTACGCCAAGCCTTTACACGCTTTCTGTCACTGAATACGTATGAGATGGGAACTTTCTGAGATAGGAACTGTACCCATTGTGTGGATGAGAAAATCGAGGCTCAGAGAAGTGAGGTGACTTGTTTAAAATGGAGTCCATGCATGTCTATACTAAACAGACTCCCAGTGTATGCTAGCTATCAGCTGTGCCCTTTCCTGTGAGAGAGCTCACCCCCAAACCTATCAGTCCTCAAGTGGAGGGGTACTTGTGTGCATGCCCTTTGCCTGTGTGCCACGGATGTCGCCTCCTGGTCCTGAGCCCCTCTAGGCTTCTCTAGAGACCACAAAACTCCTGATGAATTAATCTCATCCCTCCATCAAGGAGGCACTTACAGAAATTACAAGGCCAGGCCACCAGTGTGGGTTTGCTGGCAGCCAGCCACTGGGGCCATAAAACAAATTGAAAGAAACAAAAATAAATAAATAAAATGAGAAAACTCCTACTCTCACTCTCTCTCGCTTTCTTTCTGTTAAGTGTGCGTGCGCACACACCCCTCCTCCCTGCCCCCAAAAGGGGCGAGAACATTGTTTGGGATGCTGTTAGCACGTGACCCCTTGTCCTGGGAGGGCACGAGTGTCAGGTGCATACAGTGCTTAGCCTTGTCCTGGGAGGGCACGAGTGTCAGGTGCTTCTGTCCACCCTCCCTCAAGGGATGCTGGCTGGTTGTGCAGCCGAGAGCTGGCATGGCAAGAGTTAAGTTTGTAAGCGGTGTCTCCTGTGAGCCCGGGGGAAACTGCATAGGGCTCAGAGCAGACTGCAGCTGACCACCTGGGTTGAAGTGCTGTTCTCCCTCATGCTGGACTCTGCTTACCTTTCCCATCTGTAAGATAAGAGGATCAGGGCCAGCTGGTGGCATGATGGTTAAGGTAGCTGGATCCCCCATGGCTGACTACATGGTTCAAGTCCTGAACCCGGTGGCATAAAAAACATGCCAGGCACAAGTACATGTGTGCCCAGAATCCCAAAAGGAGGGAGAAATAGAGAAGGGATTACGGTGTGTCCATCCCCTGGGGCGCGGGGGGGGGGGCGTACTTTCTCTCTGATGAGTGCATGTACCCTTTAACAAAGAGAAAATCATATTTATTTCCAGCGCTGCTAGGAAAACTAAAGACTCAATGTGTAAAGTGGAAACAGCTACTCCCTAATCAGCAGTGTCCACTGAGCGCCTACTGTGTACCGCACTTCAACTATGGACTTTATGGATAGGGCTAGTTGAAAGGAATCAGTCTGGGGACCAGCAGATGGCAGAATGGTTACATGGCTGGACTCCCATGTAGTTGACTGCGGTTTGAGTCCCGGACCTGGTGGCTTAAAACTCACGTCAGGTGTGTGTGCGTGCATGCCCAAAACCCCGAGGGGAGAATGGAGGAGAAGGGATTGCTGCGTGGCCTTCCCCCCGGAGGTTTCCCCTTCTCGTTTTCTGTCTCTGTGAGCACATGTGCCCTCTAGTAAAAATGTCTCAAAAAAAAAAAAAAAAAGGAAGCAGTTCTGACAGGTGATATGATGGGGATATCAATCAGTTTTCAACAGGGAAAGGACTGGAGATAACAGGGCAGGCCAGGCGAGGGGTGGAGGGAGCACAGCGGCCTCCGCCTCCGTCCTGCCACAGCAGCAGAGGCCTGGAAGCCCAGCAGATCCTTGAGTTCCAGGAACTGATGTTGTGCAGATTGACTGCGCAGTGGAGGCTGGAGAGGGCGTGGCTAGGTGGGACAGGACCAAACCACTGTCTCCTCTGCCCAGAGACTTGGATGGTGCAGTTCTCTTCCTCTGTTTTTCTTTCTAATTTTTCCATGCTTATGTGAATGTTGAAATGATTTCCCCGAAATGCACGTAAGCCAGAGTCCTCTTCTCAGAGAGTTAGGGTTAGCGTTAGGGTTAGGGTTGGGGTTGGGGTTAGAACAGGGTTAGTTAAAAGAGGGGGAGGGTGGGCACACAGATGAGCGAGCAAGTCCAGTCTGTGCCACCCTTTCCTCTCTGTCCCCTTTCCTGCAAGAAGGAGGCTGGGGACCACCCTCTGTGCTGGAGCATGGAGGGGTGGGAGAGGGAAAGGGACGAAGATCTTGAACATCATGGATTTTTAGGATCCGTGGGGTAGGGGGTGGCCTTCCTAGGACCAGTCCACCTCCTGAGGACTCCAAAAAACAATGATTAATAGACTGTAAACCTTCCAGGAAGGGGACCATGGCCCTCCCCAGGGAGGAGCATTTGAAGATGCTCCTAAATAAAGCCTATGTATTTACATCGCATAGAAACAGCCTATAAAACTCAGGTTTCTCATCTGTAAGATGAGGGTTCGGGTCAGTACCTACGCTATGGAATTGCTGAGGATGGATCATAGAAGACTCACTTGGCCCTGGTCCTTTGCCTGCCTTCTGGTGGTGGGGGCTGTTTGGAGTGTGGCTGGAGACTGGGGACTGCACAAATCTAGTCTCATGGGCCTTGCATCCTCCTGGGAGAATGGGGTTGGGTGCGTGGGAACCACTGTTGTAACCTGTTTAAGGAGTGCCTGGGAAAATCCCCTTTGCTGGATGAACTGTGCTTATAAAATGAACACCTCGCATTGAGTGGCACTTTGTAATTTTTACAGCAATTCCATATTTGGTCTCGCTGCATCCGATGTTAGTAGATTCCACGCTGTTTCGCAGATGTAGGAATTGTGACTGAGAGGAAGGTGGTTTCCTCAAGGTCAACAGAGCTGGGTGGCCTGGATCTCCCCAGTGGGACTCAGAACCCAGGCCTTGGTCTCTGTGGGCAGAGTTTCCAAGATGCTTTTCCCATGCATTGGAGAGCCCAGGCTGGAGGATGGAGGGGCCAGTGGTGGCGATCCACGTTGAGGTCCTGGCCAGCCCAAGGAGGATTCTGTTCCTGCAATAAAATGCCAATTCAATGACTTTTGATGTCCCAGCCCAGTGGTGACTTCAGAGGGGTTGGTGACCATTCTCTGGATGTTTTTCCTAGTAGCTGCCTGGCCCACACAGACCTACCACCTGGAATCTCTGCATGGAAGAGTTGGAAACTTCCTGATGGGCATCTCAGAGCATCTGCTTTGAGAACCAGGCCCTGGGGACCCCTGGCAGGGTGTGTTGCTGGGAGTTGCAGGTCCTCCTGGTTAATAATCCCTGTCTGGCTTTTCTGCTGGTGGGACAGGGCTCCATAGGGCATGCACTTGGCAACCCTCTCTGTGTCTGGTTGCAGGAAACATCGAGTACAGCTGCCCAGCCACCAACGAGTGTGAGATCACGAAACGGAGGCGCAAGTCCTGCCAGGCTTGTCGCTTCATGAAATGCCTCAAAGTGGGGATGCTGAAGGAAGGTAAGAGCCCCCATGAGTGCTGGGGCCTGGGGTGGAGCTGCTCTCATTGGGGAGTTTCAGGTCCCTGTGAGACACTCACGAGCTGTGCACCTGCCCAGCGCACGTGCACTTGGGTCCTAGAATTCCAGCCTAGCCTACACCCCAGGTGGGGCCCCACCCCAGGGTGCCCCTCTCCTCCCACACTCTGCAACCTTCCTCCTCCTTCAGGATGCTCCTGTCCTTCGGGAGAGATGTGGGGTTTTGGAGGCAGGAATTGGGAGCTCTACATTAAAGATCCTTTTGGGCTCTTGACCCCTGCTGGACCCCAGACAGCTGGTAGCCTCTCCTCCCCTTTGGGGCAAGCGCCCTCTTCCCCTGGAAAAGGGGACCTGAGAGGCTGCTTTGATTGCCGGCGCCCCCTAGCGTTTGGGGTGTAAAGGGCAGGCATGTTAAGGCCCAGAATGGTATGTACTCCCTTCACCTGAGAAGAATGGCCTTTGTTTTCCAGCATGTGGACCAGGCGTCACTTTCGCCTTGTGAATGTTTCCCCTTTCCCTGTTCCCTCTGTCCTCATCGTCTCACTCCCTCGTCTCTTTGTGGCCACTTGCTCTCTTTCTCTGTTGGAGCTGATTGGTCCAATATGGCAGCCATCACCACACATGGCTGCTGAGCACTGGTCCCACCTGAGGTGTACGCTGAGTGTGAATCCGTGTTGGATTTCTCATTAGTCACTTCATTTAACTCCTTTAGGATGAGAAGTCTACTCAGCTCCCAGATGCCTGCTAGCTGTTTTGTGGGGGGCCAACAGAAGAAACAGCTCTTCCTAGATTAAAAATGGGTCATCCTGAACATTTGTTGGTTCATGTTTTTCCTTTTTTAAAAAATTTTTCAGAGGGTGCATGTGCACGCCTGACAGATGGAGAGGGAGAAAGCACCCGCCAATGGGGCGTGCCCATGCCAGTTCCTCTCTCCCTCACGTCAGGATTTGGGGCATGCGCACACACGTGCCTGGCCTGTCTTATCTTCCAAGTTGTTGTGGCTAGGACTTGAACTATGTGGTCAGCCATGTGGGTTCTGGCTCTCTTAAATCCCATGGAGCAGACCCTGTCGGTTCTTTTTTTTTTTTTAACTCATTGTCTTAATTTATTAGTATGGTCATACAAAATTTTAACTCTGTTATATATTTGCTCAAATGGTAATACAGATTTCATGATATACTTTTATTTAATTCATTTTGACTCTAAGCTCTTTCAGTCTTGCCCCATGTGTAGGCTATGTCAAAACTTGTGGCTGAACCGGATCTCTTGGCTCCTACCCCGGACTTTTTTTTTTTTTTGTCTTTTTGGAGCCCCTGGTATACACAGATGGGGAAACTGAGGCACAATGGCCCAGCGAGGCATGCCTTAACACTAATCTCAGGGACTCTCTCTCTGCGTGGTGCTGGAGACCCAAGGGTACCTAAGGCTTGGAGAGACCCCTTTCTCCTGAGCCTGGGAGGTGGACCTGTTCCGAGAGGCTGGTGTGAGGACAGCAGGGCAAGCTGTGGGCCAGCTGGCCAGCAGCCTTTCCCAGGCTAGCGGCAGCCTCTCTGCATACCTGACAGCATCGGAGGAACTCAGAGCAGAAAGAAGCCTCGCTGTCCTCAATATACCCCTGAATTTTGAAGGCCACAAAATTGAGCCCCATGGGGTTGAGGTGAGATGACCCTCCCATCTTTAGTTGCTCTTTTCTTTGGGGGCAGCTGAGTCCAGAGCCTGGGGCCTCCCTCGCTCCATGCTGTGTGTCCCCATGGCGTAGGTCAGGGGTCAGGGAGGGTGGAGAGGGCACCGCCACTCAATCCCTGGGCCTGCTGGACCATCTTGCAACACTGCTGAATAATTGTCAGGGGCTACTCAGTGCCAGGAGGAGAGTGGGGTACTTTAGTGGCCCCCCAGGGAGAAGGAAACTGCGAAGGGACCCACTGGTGCAGGGAAGGGATGGCCAAGCCTGTGACTGATGGTGGCAGCTCAGATCCCTGGACTGGTCCCGGGATGATGATGTGAGAGGGGCTGGGAAGTCAGGGGGGGTGCAGGGTGTTGCTCCCCCACTGTAAACAGCCCTGCAGTTGTGCCCACTTTCAACCGTCTACCTAGGGCGTCCCAGGCTGGGTCCTGGGCAGCCATGCTGAGCCCGAAGAGGCCCTGTAAGGAGCTCTGCCTGAAGGAGGAGGGGATAGTCCCCTGGATGCTCCCCACCCCCTGCTCCCCTCTTGCTGGCAGGTCTAAATTCAAAAGGGGGACATGACACAAAGCAGAGTGCCTCTTTTGGTGTCTGTCCCCTGCAGAGCCTTAGCAAGATCCTGGGATCTGAAGCTCCGTGGGGACTGGGCCCTTGAGGAGGACCGTTCCTCATTCAGGAGCCTGGGTTTCTGCCAGCTGGGGGCTCTTGGCAGCTGCCATGGCTCTGGCTTTTGTTTGGGTGTCCCTTCTAGCACTGCTGCTCTGCGTTCAGGGCCCGGACCCTAGGGACCAGCTCTGTCTCCCCTACCTCCCACTGTCTTCCTGCAAACTCTGCCTTGACTCTGAAAGGCAAACTTTACCGGTACAGCTCCCCACGCTCCCAACCCTGGCTTCTCACTGTGTTCTCACCACGGCCTCTCTGGTGTAGGGGGACCCCTAGCCAGGCCCTAAGTCTTACAGTAGCAGGGAGGCTGGGAGGGAGAGTGTGAATGCTGTCTGCCCTCTCCCTCCCTCACAGGCACCTCTCTGTTTCCCTCCGCCTACTCAGCTGCTCTGTTCGTAGTTTACAGTGTTTCTTCTCTTAGGTAAAATCATCTGAGAGTCTGCTTTATGATTTGGGGATGCCCAGCAACTGTTGGGGAAGAGGCCAGACTTGCTTCCTCTTACCCTTTCCCTGAGGTTGCAGCTGCTCAGGGATCCCCACTTAGTAGGTGCCCAGCCGTTGGGGACTGACCTCTGCCTGCCCCTGCAGTGCCCTGGGACACCCGAGCAGGCTGAGAAGGCAGGCGATGTCCACAGGTTTATCTTGCATTAAGCATATGAAAACCTGTGTTTCCATGGGAAAAAGTATTCTTTCTAATTAATTAATTAATTTCAATTTGCTATAGAGCATGTGCACTTGTCAGAGAGAGAGCAGAAAGAGAGGGAAGGTGAGAAAGCACCCCCTGGAGAGATGGCTACATCACAATCTCTTTCCTACTATTTCTTCTCTTGGGATCTTGGGCACATATGTACATGGGCCAGTGTGTCTCTCAAGCCACCAAGTCTGGGACTGGAATCATGAAGTCATCCCTGTGGGTTCCAGCACCTTAACTACCACAACACCAGCTGGCCCCAAAGTATTCTCTTTATACAAAATTGGATACAACATGTTAACGAGTTTAGGAGTTGGTGGCCTGCGTCCTGCTCCTGGCTCTCAGGTGTCCTTGCTGTGTAGTGTTCCAGGCGCAGTGCCCATTCTCTTCACCTGTACAACAGGGGTATTGATACCTGCTCTCGGTCACCTGGTCAAGGGGGACAACAGCTGATACAATCCATTGGCATTGCTCTCTGGGTTTGTAAACTAGTGTTAGATTCAAAGATAGGCTCGTTTACACTCAGCTTATCACAGCCTGCCCGTGTCCAGCGTCCAGCTGTCTGGATGATCTTCTGGGGTTGCTAGTGGACATCTGAGGGAATGGCCTTGTCTTGCACTGGCCCCCTCCCTGGGTTCCAGCATCAGGAGAGGAGGTTCCCCTGCTAGTGGGCTCTGCAGCCTGGCCACAGTGTGGGCAGACTCCGCCTTGAATCCAGAAAAACTCTGCAAAGTCACTTGCTGCATTTCAGAGGCTGCACCCCAAGTCTTCAGTCCAACTCTGGGGTTTCAGCAACTCTCCTCCATCTCTCGTCCCTGCAAACTTCACCTTCTCCTTCACCTCCCACAAAACCCTGGCCTCCCAGGCCCACTCCGTTTCCTCCCCCCACTCAGCCCCTGCCTGCCTTTCCCCAAGTGTTTTCTAAAAGATATTTGATTTCAGTGAAAGCTGGGCTGACATCCGTGCAATGCGCTCTCCCTCTCTCTTTGTGCTTGTTGGGGAGGCGAGGGCTCCTCCGGGGATTCTGGGTAATTGGGTTAGTGGCCAGCTCATGTCAGGAAATTAAAAGGAGGCCCTGATCAGGTTCCTGCTGCATGGGATTTAATGGCTTTGTATTTATAGAGGATTCTGCCTCTAGCCCATGCCAGAAATACCACTTTTCTGGCCCTGTGAATGAAGAAAGAGAATGAGAGATGACTTGCCTTTAAAAATTCTTTTTCTTTTCCAAAATACATTAGTGTTTTGAAACAAACCAACTCTCTGGCACTTGAGAGAATGGTACTAAGCTACAGCCTGAGAGTGCTAACGTGTGTTTGTATCTCCCCAAAACCACTTTCCCTTCCGCACACGCACATACACGCACATACACACACCCCCACATCATCTCCCCTGACACACACACCCCATCTGACAGCTCCCAAGATCTACCCATGTGCCCTGACGTCCCTGGGTCACTCAGGCAACCTCTGTTGGGAAGGTGTTGGCTGAATGAATACGTGATGCTCTTGTCTGTGCCGAGTCCTTGTTACTGTTCACTTGGGGCTTTCAGTGTTTCAAAACTTGACAGTTTCAGTGGTCAAAAACCCAGTAAAATCCCAGCTGCTCCACTGACCGGCTTCTCGGTCAAGTTATTTATTTATTTATTTATTTATTTATTTATTTATTTATTTATTTATTTATTTATTTATTTTTGGTGCCCTAGGGCATGTGTGCTCATCAGAGAGAGAGACAGAGACAGTGAGAGGTAAAGTGAGAAGTTATGCCCTATAGGGCATGGCCATGCAGCAGTCCCTTCTCCATTCTCCTCCTGGGATTTTGGGCACGCACACACATGCAACCAGAATGATTTTCAAGCTACCAGATCCGGGACTTTGAACTGTAGTCGGCCATGTGGGAGTCCAGTGACATAACCACTATGCCACCTGCTGGCCCTGTTGGGCTGGTTATT